CCAGACACACACAGTTGACTCGGCACTGTCAGATTATACTTCTCCCTCTGCGCATGAAAGCGAGTCCCCTTTCCTTTTTTTGTAAAGAGTGGGAGGCTGACACTGAGCCCCCTTTTCTTTTTTATATTTTTTTTTTTTGTGACAGGTAGACTGGACAGTGAGAGAGAGAGACAGAGAGAAAGGTCTTCCTTTGCCGTTGGTTCACCCTCCAATGGCCGCCGCGGCCGGCACGCTGCGGCCGGCGCACCGCGCTGATCCGATGGCAGGAGCCAGGTACTTATCCTGGTCTCCCATGGGGTGCAGGGCCCAAGCACTTGGGCCATCCTCCACTGCACTCCCTGGCCACAGCAGAGAGCTGGCCTGGAAGAGGGGCAACCGGGACAGAATCTGGCGCCCCGACCGGGACTAGAACCTGGTGTGCCGGCGCCGCTAGGCGGAGGATTAGCCTAGTGAGCCGCGGCGCCGGCCGACAGCGAGCTCTTAACAGGTGCTAAGCGTGTTATGATGGGTCCCTGCCGTTCAGGCGCTTGGCCCAGCCCTGGCTGTTAGGGGTGTTTGGCGAGTTATTTAGCAAGTTTGGTGGTGGTATCCCATTTTACAGATAAGAAAACAGGCCAGTAGAAAACCTGCACACACACACACACACACACACACACACACGCACACACACCAGTACGTGGTAGTGTCACCAGAGGAAAGGCCGTGGAAGCTGTAGGGTTCTTGTCTTCACGCAAGAAAGAATTCAGGCGTGAGACAGAGCGGAGTGATGCAGCTTTATTGGGGACAGGGAGTCCGTCAGAACAGAAGGGACAGAGAGAGCGCCCAGTCGCTCGGACGGGGGAGAGCGGGGTTACACCTGGCAGGCGGGCGGCGGGCGGGCGGCTTGGCAGAGGGCTGAGCACACGGTCTGTTTGGACTCCCGGTTTTTAGGGAGTCTGTTTACCCACCTCCCCTCTCCTCCAGGACAAAGGATGGGGAGTCCTGGCGGAAGGGTTTGGTGGGAGAAATTAGCAAATTCCCCCCCAGATTTGCTGGGGCCGGGCAGAGCAGAGGGGCTTCCCTTAGGGCGTCTGTGAAGGTTTTATTGCCCCAGTCATCAGGTCAGGGAACCCATCTGGTCCTGAGGGGAGAGTCTCCTGGGAGCTTCACACACTCACGCATGCACGCACGCACACTCACATGCACACACACGCATGCACGCACACATGCATGCACACACACATGCACGCACACACACGCATGCACACACGCACACACGCACGCACACACACGGAATTTCTGGCTTCCTACCTAACAGTAGGACTTGGATTCTCACCCAGAGATGTGGGCTCCAGAGTTTCTTTGTTGAAATTGGAAGCTGAGCAGCCCCCTGGGGCCTGGACGCGGCATTCCCGCCCACCTCGGTCCCCACCTCGGTCCCCACCGAGCCCCTCCACCTGCTTGTTTATGGAAAGCGAGCGTGGGGTGATTTCTAAAGACTGTTTTCAGTACAGAGAGCTTGGAGCTATGGTGGGGGTGCCTGGGGTCCCTCTGCCGCTTCCTGGCTGTGTGGCCCTGGGCCGGTCACTCAACCTCTCTGAGCCTTGAAAGACTGAGGGGCTTGGCCAGGCCATCCCTGGGAGCTGGGACTGTGGACAGGAGGGTTGGCCGGGCCGAGGGGCACCCGCGGAGTGGGGTGCGGGCTGGGCGGCAGCGGCAGGACGGTGTCCCGGCCGCGGCCCGCGTGGCCTCACGTCCTCTGTCCTCTGCCAGGCCTTTGTCAAGATGGTCGGGCACCACGTCGCCTTCCTGGAGGCCCACGTGCTTCAGGCCGAGCGGGACCACGGGGCCTTCCCCCAGGCCCTGCGGAGGTGGCTGGGCGCCGCGGGGCTCCCCTCCTTCAGAAACGTGAGTATGCAGCCCCCCAAGGGGCGGGCCTCTCCCCAGGCCCTGCCCCAGCCCCGCCCCAGGCCCCAGCCTCTGGAGAAGCAGCAGTGGGGGCGGGGCGCCGTGGGCGGAGCCAGCTGCCCGGCTTGGAGGGGGCTGGCAGCCAGGGCCTCCCCGCCTTGCACACGCATCTCTTCCGGCCCTGTGCTTCACAGCCGCCGCGCTGTGACTGTTCATACTCATCCCCCACTCATTGAGCACCTACTGTTTGCCAAAGTCCATGGTCCCTCGGGGTTACACCCTCCCGTCCCATCCTCGCATACCTAAGCACCCTGGCCAGGGTCTCGGCCAGGTCCTTGTGGCCTGAGTCAGCCTCCAGCTGACCAGAGGAGCCGGGCAGGTGGAGCTGGCGTCCGGGCTGCTCGCGACCCTCTGTGGCCGGCAGAGGCCTCTCCTTCCCACGTCTCCTCTGCTCTCTGGGGGTCCCCCCATGCCTCCCCACCTCACCCCAGGGACCGCTGTGTCCCTTTTGCTGATGGAAAACGGAGGCCACGTGGAGCCTACACTGGAGACCTGTGTTGTTTAGGGTGCACCTGACTCCCAGCTCTGACCTGCCGATCCCCGTGTCCCAGGGACCTTGGGCACTGTCTGAGGCCATTTTGGCTGTCACCGCTGGGGGTGGGCATCATCTAGCGGGGGATCCCTCAGGGGCTAGTGAACACCCTGCACGGGCAGGTGCGGGGCGCAGCAGGTTGAGCCGCCTCCTGGGAGCCCTGCACCCCCCATCAGAGAGCTTCGGTTCGAGTCCCTCCTCTGCTTCCAACACAGTTTCCGCTGATGCACAGCCTGGCAGGCAGTGCGTGTCGGCTCGGGTAGGGGGTCCCCGCCATTCAGGGGCTTGGCCCAGCCCTGGCAGCTACGGATGTTTGGGGAGTGAGCCAGCAGGTGGAAGAGCGCGCGTGTGCTCTCTGTCTCTCTGTCTCTCTCTGTGTGTCTTTCTAATATGTAGGGGGAAAAATTTTTTTAAAAATCCTACAGTGGCAGGCCAACCCCTCCCTCCGGCCCCGATGATCCGGCTGCAGGTGGCGGCCCTGCCGAGTCCGGCTCGGGGCTTGGTGATTCGCACAGGTGCAAGTCGGGTCCCGGCACAGTGCTGCTGCCTGGCACCAAGTTCTCTCTGAAGTCTCCTGAGAAAGCTGCTTTTGCCATTGCCCCATTTTACAGCTAAGGAGACTGAGGCTCAGGGAGAGAAAGGGGCTTGCCCGAGGGCCCGGTGCCCCCAGCGCCTGTCCTGCCTCCGGCACGGCCTCCTCTGCTCTGTGTCTCCATGACCCCGTGGTCCCCACTCCTCACACCCACGTGGCTGCTGTCTGTGTTCCGGGGGCCGCGTTGGGCATTTGGTGCGTGTGGACTCCTTGCTTTTCCCGGTGGTCTGTGCGCTGGGCGGTGACGTCATCCCCAGGCAGCAGGGAACAGCTGGTGAATCCCGCAGCCCTCGGCAGAGCTCAGTACGGGCTGGACCGCGTGGCGTGCTTTATCCCTGAGAGGTGGGTGTTTGGCCGTGTGCCGTCCACCCTGGCCCCGACTCCCTCTTTCCTCGCTGGCAGCATGGGCCGCTCTGCTGCCTGCCTGCAGGTGAGTGAGTGATCTAAGGCCAGGGAGGCACTCTTATTGATACTATAGAGCCCAAACGAATGCCACCTCCTGTGAGAAGCCTTCTGGGATTTCCTCTGTCTGGGCAAACGCAAGCTCCCCACCTTCCTTTTGTTTTGTTTCTTGATTTTTGGAATTTATTTGAGAGGCAGAGAGAAAGACCTCTCATCTGCTTTCTTACTCCCCAAATGCCCACACTGCCTGGGGCTGGGCCAGGCCAAAGCCAGGAGCTGGGAACTCCGTGCGCGTCTCCCGTGTGGGTGGCAGGGGCCCAGGTACCTGAGCCGCGACCCCCCCAGGGCTGTCTGCTGCCACCGACAGTGAAGTCGCCACTGCGTCCTTTGTGTCCCCGCTAGAGTTAGGTGGCCAGGGGCCCCAGTCTCTGCCCGTTGATGGCTTTCGAAGGACAGGGCCCTGTGGTCACCGCAGCCGCAGCAAGGATACCGACAGTGGGTGCCGCCCTCTGCCCTCTGCCCTCTGCCCTCTGCCCCCTGCCCCTTTGAGCTGCACGGTTGTCCCCAAGATGGGGCCTTGAGGGGTGAGAGTCGCTGCCTGGGGTCAGGCCTACAGCGGGGTTTCCTACACCAGGCCCCGCCTACTGATGCAGGATACCCCGGCCGCAGGTGCCGGCAGGGCAGGCTGGGGCCCGCGCTCTCGGCTGCCACAGATGCCGGGCTGTGCCGAGCCTTGCAGAGGCCCCCCGCCTGCCTACCTGCGGTGACTTGTTCCAGGAAGCGCGTCCCGGCCCGCGCTGGTGAGTCATCCCGCTACCCGGGCTGTTGATCTTGGCCCCACGAGGGCTTTGTCCGGGGGAGGCGGCACAGGTGCGTGTGTGCACACGCGTGCGCAGCCCTACGGTTTCCTGGGCTGCAGCTCAGGGGCCTCCTGGAATCCCGATCACCCCGGCGCACTCTGGGGCCACATCTGCAGGCGCCACCCCCACCCCTTCCCTGCCCGTGAGGTCAGCCTGGTCCTTGTTGCACTTCTACAGATGGGGAAACCGAGGCACTGGGGGTTGAACAGCTTGCCCCCGGTGGTGGCGCTGGGGTTGGAATCTGTGCTGGGCGCAGGCTGGCACTCGGCCCCTGCTGTGTCGCTGCGTGCCCTGAGTGCCCCTAGCGCCTGCCGTCTGGGGGAGGGAGTCCTGGCGGGCACCCAGATGGCCGTTTCTGGGATTCCCCAACGCTGGGGTTTCATGCCACCTCATTTCAGTTCCCTTGAGCAGCTGCCTGGGGTGGACACCTCAGTGGCTGCCCTCTCCCCAAGAGGCGGGGGGTCTGAGGCAGGAGCCACACCCAGCCCTCGTCGGGGCCTCCTGGCGCTCTGCCTAGACCTGCAGGGCCCACGAGGCTGGGGTTTTGCTCCTGCTCTTCCCCCCAGGACCCCCTCGCCCCTGTGGGGGCTGGCCAGTGCTTCCCCAACACAGGCAGCCAGGGTGCCGGTCAGCCTGCCCGGGGCTGCCTGCTCCTTGAACCCCAGGTTCCTTGTCCCTGGCCCAGCCGCCTGCCGCCCTCTCCCGCGTTTCCTGCAGTGCAGAGGCCTGGGGCAGGCCAGCCCTGTGGGAACATTGGTGTGGAATCCTGTGCCTGCAGGACGGCCACACCCTTCCTGGGGGCCCCGCCACTCCCCTGCAACCCTCCGGAAGTCATGGGAGTCACAGGGACCCCCTCGTGGGGCCCAGGAGGGAGAGGCCACAGCCTTCGGCCCCTGCAGCCATGGAGAGGCCTTTTAGGGAGTGTTCCCGGCACCCCCCTTCTCATGGGCTGGAGCAGCAGTCGGGCTGGGTCCCGTGAGCCTCAGCGGGTGTAGCTGTCAGCTGGCGCGGGCACTGCCGCCACTGTGAGAGGCTCTGCCTGGACAACCGGCCGCTCTAACGCGGTGGGAATGAGAGGGGAGAGAGAGCGGCGTGGAGCCGCGTGGTGAAGATGCTGGCTGTGGACGCCTGCATCCCACACCCGGGCGCCGGGCTCTGAGCCCTGGCTCCAGCTCCTGATCGCCGCTTCCTGCTCGTGTGGACCCGGGGAGGCAGCGGCGAGGGCTCGAGCGGCTGGGCTCCTGCCCCCCACCACGGGAGAGACCTGCGTTGCACGCCTGGCTCCTGGCTTCCGCTTGGCCCAGTGCTGGCCACTGGGGGCATTGGGAGAGTGAACCAGTGCTGGGGAGCTTGGTCTCTCTCTCAATGAATAAATAAATATAAAGTAAAATATTGAGAAGTGATAAACAAGGAGAAGTTCTGGAACTCTTGGAAGGAGGGTCCCGGCCCAGGGTTTAAAGGCACTGGGGGGGTCTGGAAAGCCAGCCTCGCTCCCGCCTCATGGAGTGGCCAGGGTGGAGTCAGCCCCCTGCCCAGGGCAGGGCGGTTGGCGTGGGAGGGGGCACAGAGCCAGCCCCTCTATCCTCCTCTCCTCCATCCTCCTCCCCTCCATCCTCCTCCCCTCCGTCCTCCTCCCCTCCGTCCTCCTCCCTCCATCCTCCTCCCCTCTGTCCTCCTCCCCTCCATCCGTCTCCCCTCCATCCTCCTCCCCTCCATCCTCCTCCCCTCCATCCTCCTCCCTCCATCCTCCTCCCCTCTGTCCTCCTCCCATCCATCCGTCTCCCCTCCATCCTCCTCCCCTCCGTCCTCCTCCCCTCCATCCGCCTCCCCTCCATCTGCCTCCCCTCTGTCCTCCTCCCCTCCGCCCTCCTCCGCTCTATCCGCCTCCCCTCTGTCCTCCTCCCGTCCACCCTTACAGCTTCCCTCGAGGCAGGTGCCATGTTTTTTCCCACTGTACAGGCGAGGACATGAGGCAGAGAGTGGTTAAGTGATGTACGTGGTCACCCGGGTGGGCACGCAGAAGGTTTCTCGTCTGTGTCACGTGTCATCTCGCGAGAGAGCCCTGGGGTCTGTCTCAGGGAGCTCGTGTCTGGTGGGAGAACGGAGACGGTGACCAGATCCCAGGAAAACTCAGCCGAGAGCTTCTTCTCTGTCCGTCCCTTCAAGATGTATTTATTTGCTTAACAGAGTTGCACAGAGAAAGGGAGAGGGGGAGAGTTACCCTCCATGTATCCATCTGCTGGTTCGGTACTCGAATGGCTGCAATGGCCAGGGCTGGGCCAGGCTGAAGCCAGGAGCTTGGAGCTTCATCTGGGTCTCCCTCACGGGTGCAGGGGCCCAAGCGCTTGGGCCATCTTCCTCTGCTTTCTCTGGTGCATTAGCAGGGAGCTGGGTCAGAAGTGGAGCAGCCGGGACTCGAATGTCTGCTCGCTTGTCTGGGATGCCGGCACTGCAGGCGGAGGCTATACCCATTACACTGCGATGCTGGCCCTGAGAACTGTCTGTAAAGGGGGCCCTAGTCTGGCCTTGGAGGAAGCCCCCTAATGTGCAGCCT